TATTTAAACAGTAGAGGGTTTACCTTAAAGGGGCAGTATATATAATATAAGTATATACAGACTATAAAAATCTAATATACTTTACTATAACTAAGGAGTTAAACGGAAGATAGAAAAGATGGTTAGAAAAACTAGGAACCTTTAATTTTAGGATTATATATAGAAAAGGATCTGAAAACGCTTATATAGATATACTTAGCAGAAGGCCGGACTATATAGAAGGAACCGAGAAGACTAGGCAACCTATACTTAAGGAAACAAGTCTAGGAACCCTTAAATTTAACCACGCACAGGTAGCAGTTACTTACAGGTCCGAGGATAACAAGTAGTATAAGCAAATTAAGGCAGCACAGAAGGTAGATTAAGAAAGCCGGGATTTAGCAGGTTATAACTGGCAAAGTTTGCGCCTAGAACCTATAAACTAAGAACACGGAGAAATCTAGGACAGTATTATTACCTTACAGAACAAGATATTTATACCTAAGACCTTATAAGAAGAGCTTGTTAAGAAATTCTACAGTACACCAGTATACAGGCACTAGGGAGTGGAAAAGATACGGGAAAGAATTGCAAGGACATTCTATTTCCCCGGACTCCGGAAACTAACGGAGAAAATTATATACAAATGCGAATACGCAAAGAATAAGTCGGTATAACACGCACCGTATAGACTAATAAAGAGTCCTTCTATACTGGAAAAAGCATAGAAATCCATTGTATAGAACTTTATAGTTAAGCTACTACAGTCTATTAAACCTATAATAGGCATAAAGTACAACGCAATACTAGTAGTTATAGACCGACTAACTAAATATATATACTTTATCCCTTACTAAGAAGTATTAACAGCAGAGGATCTGGCCTACGCCTTTTTAAAGTATATTGTTAGCAACTACGGGCTACCCTAGAAGATAATTTTAAACCGAGATAAGCTCTTTATATCGAAATTCTAGCAGACCCTTACTACACAACTAGGAATAAAGCATAAGCTTTCCACGGTGTTTCACCCTTAAACGGACAGGTAAACGGAAAGGCTTAATTAGACTTTAGAATAGTACCTATAATACTATATTAACTACAGGCAGAATAATTAGGTATTGCTACTACTAATAGCCTAATTCGCCTATAATAGCGCATCTACGGAGATAACAAAGGTATTACCCTTCTTTGCAAACTATAGTTTCGATCTAGAGGCGTATTAAGAACCCCGACTCGACAGTATAAAGGCCTAGAGGGCACTACTATTAGTCGAAAATATTAAAGAGCTACAGGAGCAGCTCTTAATAGATATCTAATTCCTAACGCTAAGGTTAGCAAAATATTACAACTAACACCGGAGTGTTGCACCAACCTTTAAGAGGGGAGATAGAGTCTACCTACTCCGCAAAAATATTAAAATAAAATAACTAAGTATAAAGTTAGACTATATTAAGATTGGACTATTTAAAATACAGGATATTATTAGCCCAGTAAACTATAAGCTTAGGCTACCCAACAGGATAAAAATACACCCGGTCTTCCACGTATCGCTACTAGAACCCGCACTATTAAACGCCAAGCTAGAAAACAATATAGAGGTTGACGACGATAATAAATATAAGGTTAAGTAAATCCTGGATTCCCAACAGCACGGTTAGTAAATAGAGTACCTAATTAAGTGGAAAGGATACGGCACCTCCGAGAACACATAGGAACCGGTTAAAAGTTTGGCGAACTGTTAGGAACTCCTGCAGCAGTTTCACCGCCAGAATCCGGAACAGCCTAGAAAGACGGCGACAGCGCACTGTTTAACTAGGAAGGATTAAAGGAACCCGGAGAAGGAATGCTACTGCTATATAATTAGAATGCATGGCAACGGAACCGACGGCTGGCAGTGCCCAGCACACCTAAGGAGAAAGAAGAATACCTAATAATCCCCGAGGAAGAAGGCAAGCCTTCCTGCTTGACACGCTCTTGTTTTTTCTGCTTAGCCTCCTTCCGATTATTTTCCTTAAGCTCTTCTAGAGTCTCGAAACCACAACGCATTATCTCCTTACCACGCTTATGCAATAGTTCCTTTTAAGAATCTAGATGATTAAGCTTTGTTATAGCCGCCCTCTAAGCCTCTAACAGAGAAGACAGAGTCGCGCGAGTCTTAGACTCCTTACAACAAAGTTTGTCCTTATTATAGGATAACTTTCGCCCTGGGAAGGTTAGATAGAACACAAGCAAATATAATAATAGACTACAGCAACTTACAGGCAGCTGCTAAGATGCTAGCGACATCACAGTTTAATTGTTGCGCCCGAACGCAGGCGGCACAATAATCCGAGTTAGGTGTAGAAACTATATACGATAAACCCCGAGACTTGCACCGGGAATAAGGCATAACTTTTAAACCAGACGCGGCAATACGATTAGCAAGCATGAGATAGCTTTCTTATTTCTTGGCTTTTAAAGCGTTGGACATGGTAAAAGAAGAAATAGAATAGCACGATGACGGCCCAACAGATAGGGCATCGCCAGCTACTTATCCGAGACCCCACCACGGAAATACTTTTGGGCCGAAAGCCTTAGAAGGGGGAGCAAGTGTTATAACCTGTAATATAAACAACCCGAGCACAGAGGCACTTGCGGAGATAAGCAAGCAGATAAGACTGATAACACAGAACTAAGTCACGGGACTAAGGGGGTTACGTGTAGGACGCATAGGGATCCTGGATTCCCCTACAAACTGCTGGTGGATGGGAACAATCTAAGAGTGGGACATTACGAGAACAGGGTCACGTAATAGCTCGCCAGGCTCGCAACGGGAAGTAAGCATAGAGCCGTGCGAGCGCTTATTAAGCTCGAGACGCTTAAGGACTATAAGCCCGTAGAGCTATATAAGTAAGAGGTTTTCTTAGGACGGAGCTTTTATATAAAGGGACGCTCCTTTGTATAGATAGGAACCTTGTGTTTAACTTAAGACTTTAATACTACCTATTGGAAGTAACAACCCCGTTTTATACCTAAGATTGATCTTGCCTTACCTTTTAAAGACTATTGCACCCCGACAACGACTTGCCTATACCCTGCCTTAGTGTAAGACACTTAGAAGGTATAGAAGAGACGACCCGTTACACCTTAGCTATAAGGTTGTTGAATATAGCACCTATAGGCGTGCGTTCTTCTAGCTAGTTATAGATAGTTCGGATAGTATCCTTATTAAGATCTCGGTAATTAGCTGGAGCTCTATTCTTAGGGTTATATAGCTTATAATTATGCGCAGAAACTATAACCTTAACGAACTAATTACCTAGCTATAGGTCTCTTGTAAAGCATTCTTTTATAAGGCAATTAGACTTCTTTAAACAGGTTTAGCGCTTCCTATTAGCTGGCTTATATACTCCTGCGCATTCGCATTAAACTATTACCTTGCGCACTTGGGAGGGCATGCGCTTATCTATTTTTTTTATTGTATTTAACGATCGCATAGCCTTCGCGCTTTGCCCACGCATTAATTAACTTTATACCTTTATCAACGGACGCATGGCGGCCCTAAGGGGGCGGCCGTAGGTATATGGTGTTAAAGTGATGATATAGAGGAAATAGTATTAATGCATTAAAAGAGAGTACGTAGGTAATGTAAATTCGAATTAAGTACAGAGCGGGCAAGTAAGTGAGTTTAATTGGTGGAACAATATTTATACGGGCCGGAGCTAGACCTAATATAGGGGGGGTGATACGTAGTAAAAAGGGGGGTAATGCGTAGCAAAAAGGGGGGTGGTGATTAGGCTCGTCCTAATGTAATTGCTTGTGTTGTACATGGCCGCATTTGGAGAGAGCATTCGGAATTAGTAAGCGAGTTAAGCGAGCGAATCGGAGACTACGGAGTAGTACTCCGAGCCAATTAGAAGGCGGTGAAGCGCCAAGAAGGGGGGGTGTATATGTAGCGATTAGGGGGTATACGTGTAGTGAAAAGGGGGTGTACGGGTAGCGCTCCCCATTCCTGTAGGAGTGTAGTCCCTCCGCTTTATTGTCCACCTTCTAGTGCGTATAAGTATCTTCGCTTATGTTGGAACTTGAGGCATCTTTCGAAGAAGCTTTCGGGCGTCATTTCACAACCTCTGAATAACTATATTTCTTCTTTTGCCAAATCGTTGTATCTTTCTACCGATATAATGCAGAATTTCTAGCGCATCAAGGTTCCATACAACTAATCTCTTTCATATCTGAAAAATGGCTTGCTAAACAATACTATTCGCATAGCAAGACCCCAGGATTATGCAGCAAATATTGTATAGTATACAAATTCGACGGATTATATGTTTTTTCTGCAATCCGCAGGCATGAAGGCAGATACCTTCTTCAAAGCTTGTAAGCATCTGAAAATAGCACCTAACCTCCCCCCGGGCGCGATGGAACACCTAACGTGATGGAACAAATCCGAGGTACTTTAACTTTACAGCGACTCAAAGTCCGCGCACACGTTCTAATAATAAAACTTCTATTATAGTAATACTCTCTAACTATTTCTTAATGCTTAGAATTATTCTAATTATATAAAATACACATGTGTGGTTATCAGCCTACTAATTTCGGCGGAATGCTTAGAATGCTTCTTGAACGCGACAAAAAAACACCCCTGCTATTACAGTACCAACATTGATTTTCCTTTCTAAAAGATTGAAAATAGGAATAAGCTACACTTCTTAGCCATATTGAAATATTAGAAAGCCTTCCTCTAAAGTGTTCGTTGTGCTGCAAGCAATTTCAAAAAATTCCACCACACAGGATAGTACTTGCGACCGATCAACCTTTCATTTTTGGCTAAATATACAGTTATGGAATATTTACATAAGCATTTTATGGTATATCACCACTGTTGATCAAGACTCTCTAGTTCCCAGAATAGCATTAGCAGACTAACCTTCTTAGGTAAAGCAGATTTCCCCGCATCGAGGAACAAATCTAGCCCCGCGATATGGCGAGTGAGACAGATTTTCTCATCTGAACACCACTATCATTGCTGAACGCAAATGGGCTTCTTAGATGTCGCTACTGAGATCCGGCTCAAAATCTATTCGGAACTCCTCGTTCTTCTCGAGCCGATCAAGTTCGTAGCGAATTTCGGCCCTCCGCTGCCCCCCCTCTTACGATCTCGAAGGGATAGACTCCATCCTGCTGTTCTTCGTTTGAGCAGCAAGGTGTATAACGAAGCCAGTCCGCTACTCTATTCCAAGAATCGATTCCAATTCCCTGAAGTATTCGGCTCCGCACCGTCTCTTCCGATTCGAGCTCACGTCGCGCCCTTTCTTATCCAAATCGGATCGCAAAGCAAGCTAATTCACCATATCTGTATTCCCTTTCCCACCTTCAACTATCCCGTACCCGAAAGAGCTAGGCTTGATGAAGTGCACATCGAAAATCTAGAGCTCATCAGGAAGACCTGCACAAACATTAAGACTCTCGAATTATTGGTACCACTCGAACATTGCAACTATGCGCTCGACGATTGGGCAATCGCATCAGAGGCGTTGGATTTACTCAACACACGATTCAAGGCTATTCATTCCCTGAAAGAGATTATGATTAATTTTGAGGAGTACCCCGAAGATGACCCAAGCGATGGCCTGACGAAGAAGATGCGCGATATTGGATGGACTGTTAGGATCACAAGGCTTCCGAAGAGGGTTTGGATCTCCATTGATGATCGAGTCGAGTTTGACAATGAAGAGGTTGTAATGCATATGATAATGAATATTTACAACGAGAGCAGGAGATGGAAGAAGAGACGGAAAAGGAACAGTGGCTGGACGAATATTATCGTCGACGACATGACCCTTATTGGGAGAATGATTCAGACTATGACTGAGTTTTGTCACGATTGGTATTTTCGAACAAATGCCCAACTTTCTCCTAATCTACTATAGCAATTTCTACTTCGCTCCGCCGTGATCGCGCAATGATTCTACCTTCTTCGTACGACAATCTCAATACATTCGCGCCACTGGGGCAACCTGTTCTTCACTCATCCACACCACTGGGGCCCTCGCTGCCTCTGGCGCTTCGCTTATCCGCACTACTTTGGCCCTTGGCTGTGAATCTCCCTTTGGAGCAGGAGCCTTACGCTTCTGAGAGCGTTTTCCCTTGTCCGCAGTATCTTCCCTTTTTGCAGCGCGCTTCTGTCCACGTTCCCTCTTGTCCGAAGCAGCTTGTTCTTTCGCCGCACGCTTCTCTCGTGCCTCCTCAATATCCTCATAGCTCATCACCTTCGCCTTCCCTATAACGGTTGACTTGGTCGATCGGCGAACCTTGGCTTCGTTGTTCTGTTTAAACAAGAGTTGGTTCTCGTCTTGAAGGAGGGTTCGTTCGGCAAGGAATATTTGGGCGGCATTGGAGAATTTCTGTAACCGCCTTTGTAGGCGCTGTTTGCTTGCCTCTTCAAGCTTATGAGCGTCCTGTTCAATTAAGCCGCGTAGTGATATGAGAGCCTCTACTGTTGCTGGAGTTGCTGGTGTAACTGGAGTCTGGGGTACTTCGTCTTGCAGATGGGACCCCATCTTTGCGGAGCACTGGATTACGTCGCTTGAAGGCCTCGATCCAACTCGTACTTGGAGGCTTGATTTTTGTATTTGTGGTGCGTTGACGTGCAATAACGAATGCAAGTGAGGGGATATACTTGATTCGAACAGGGTATCCTATAGTAGACATATGTATCGAGTATTTAGTAAGGGCTTTCTCTTCCATAGGGGTGAGATACTGTTGGCCTTTGGCTTTGTCTTCCTTTAAGGGTTGTCTATGTGCGCGGTTCCATAGGGTTGTGCAAGCGACCCTGTGGCATTTTGATAAGGCTCTATACGATCTGGGCTCATTTGGCCCAAGACCTTCCGCTAGTGCGATACTTGCGGCGTCCATTCTACGATTGGTGATGATGATCGTGAAAGGGAAAGGAACGACAGAGTTGCAGCAAGTCGAGGGGACACGTGGCAGTTTGGCATAGAAGCTTCTAGAATTTTACCATGCCACATTCTCAGCCACACTCTGCAAGTGATCTTCCCCGCACTCACAAGCCCCGCACTTAACTTGCACATTTATACTACAAAGGTAGTGCTCTCTCGATATCATTCAAGATAGAGTCTTTAACGTTTTGACTCCACATAGTTTGTTGGCGCAAAGTACGCTCGATCGCACGCTCTGGCACAACAGTGTTACCTCACATCCAAGTCCCCACCTTTTGGTATCGATTATACCATCTTCATTCTCCCTATTGCGCCATGGAAAGCGATAGCAACGCAGCATTGGCAGAGAGGTTCGAAAGGTGCTTAGAAGTTCTTCGCAAGCGCATGGAGATGCTAGAGAAGCTCAGGCTGCCTCCTAAGACACCAGCCCCTACCGGTCTACTACGTCTTCCGTTCGAAATCCTTCTGCAGATCTACTACCACTGCATTCCTCGAAAGCGCATCATCGAAGTGGCACATCTATGCTTTATACCTCAATGGCTACCCGATTTAGAAGATGGTCAGGATTTTGAGGACGATGTTGAGTACGTCTAAGATTCGGAGGACAATGTTGAGGATAATCACCATCTGACGGACGATTTTCTGTATGACTCCACTCAAGAGTTTGAGGACTGCAACTAACACATCAGCAGTGCTTCTTGGGATCTGATCAAAAACTAGAACAGCATTTTCCTTCTCTCGAAGCAAATCAGCGAGGAAGCTCTAGATGTCCTCTACGGAGATAATGTCTTTAAGCTATATCTACATGGAGAAGGCGAATCCTACCTTAAGAAGAATTTCTCCCACCAAAACAGGCAAAGAATGAAGTATTTACTACTTATTGCGCGGCCTAGGGGTGTTTCGTACACGCCAGAAAATAGAGTAGACGATGTATTGTGGCGTTGTATGCTCCCTCATTTGAAGGGACTGCGGATTGTAGCAGAACAACCGGTAAAAGAGAGAAGTTATTATGGTGCACCTACGCATAAGCAAGAGATGGATTGCTGGATCAATTGGTTTCCGCCGTACATGCAATGTCTTGGTCAATACTTGGTGAGAGAAACTAAAATTGAGGTTGATGCTAACGACCATGCGGAGACGGAGGAACTGGTCAAGAAATGCTTACCATATGGCTATCAAAAGATACAATGTCATCTCGTCGGCGACTTGATCTTTAAAAGAGGGCAATATTCGTGGGAGTCTGGATATTAGGACGATGATGGCCCTATGAATTCACGCGACGCTGATGGCGATTGGGAATCAGATTAATGTATTTGATTTTGTAAGACGTTAAGGTGATAATAATGCAAGGAATTCTCGTTCATGTATCAGTTCATAGATTGACAACCGTTCAGTAATTATATGAACTTTCTAATGATTCCGACTCTCGTGTGACGTTCGGTGGTTTTGAACGGCAAGCAGAAGCGATTTCAAGATGATATCAATAGAGAACGTTGTTCATGGTCTAAAGCTCCCGCAGTTGTAATACCACCTGCTCCAAGGTCCGGTCCTGCACCTTGTAATCTGTACACGTGAGCGCTGCCATGCATGGCATAACGTTATCGTCCATTCGCGCTGCTGAGGGAAAAGTATTAGCTTAATGAGCTTGACGGAAATATTCTGTGAGACAGAGAATCATTGTTAAGAGATATGCCATTGACAGCGGATGCTCTGCTCTTCTTGAGTTCCAACGAGAATAAAAATATTACATTTACTTGTACTTAACGCAGCTACCTTATAGCGTGTCTCCCCGCTTGAGTTTTTTCATACAGAGGCCGCAGGCGACAGTTTTGTATTCAGGACATCTGAAGCGAAAAGGGTTTATGTAGGCATTTTTAGAATACGAATGGTACTCGCAGCGAGAGCGACCTGGAACTGAAATCCACCGAACTTGGTGACTACAGAGCGGGGCTCGTGCATAGCTTCGGCTTCGTGTTACTGAAGCTTGATCAGTTTCTGCCTTTGCTGCCTCTACTTTCTTTGCTGGGTCCGCTTTCTTTGCTGCTTCCTTGTGTTGTATCCTGGTAATAGCCTGTCTGGCTGCATGCTCCCCTGCTATCTCTTTCTGCCTCAGAATCTCTTGTAGGACTGCATCGAATCTAGCCACTTCTTCCCTTGCTTCTTGGGCTTGCACATGTGTAGATCGGAGGGTTGGGAGCGGCGGCCGGTTCGATTGCTGCGTTGTCGGTGGCCTCGAAGCATTGTCCATAGAAGTCTGGATGTAAGGATAGTACTGTAGATCGTACTCGGGCATCCTGGCGCTATTGCTAAGAATGTCACAGGAGTCGTCGCTCTACGCAAATGCGTGACTATATTATTAGATCGTCAGAACAGAGAGCTTCCGCTACTTACTAGTTGTGTCTTTTCCGAAACGTTCGACTTCCCTTGGCCCTACCTGAATGGTGTGATTGCGCGAGATTACGAGGCTATGGGACTTACCATGGGACATTGCCGCCTCTCTGTACACAGGGTTTCGGCAGTAGTATTAAATTGCTTTTACAAAACGCGTACAAAACGAAAAGAAAGCGTAAAAATCCTACATAAGCAACGCTAAAATTCGAACTGTCCTTGGCAAATCCAAACTAATCGCGGCGAAACTTTTAAATATCAGCTATTAAGGATTGAGTATTGAAAACGTATAATATAAGAATCTTTTGAAGCTTGAGTTCTATTATATACCTCCGAAATTAGAAATTCTCGCATTATTTATAAGTTAGCAGGGGGTTACAGCTCACATATCATTTTCTTCAAGAGAAGAAATAGTCACAGAATAGGTAAAATCAACGTCATTTTATACTTTAAAGAGGAAAACATATGCAATAGAGACTAAGGAAGATAGTAGTGTTATTAACATATTTATAAAGTTATGGGGGGAGAAATGTGACACCTCTAAGTTCAATATGTTCCATCACGGTGGGTGTTCCATCACGCCGGGAGGGAGGTTACTAAGCTTGAAGCTTCTTTTCATCCAAGATACCGTTCACCTTGACTACCAATTCACCTACAAATCCGAAGGAAACCATCATGGCCGATAAGCACGTTTCCTTTTTCAGAGACGCGTCGTCGACCTTGAAAGACATCCAATCGCCCACCAACACCATAGAGGTTACGGCTCCACCACCCGAATCATCAAAGTCCAGTCATGATCTCATCTCAGGATCCTGCCATAGACGAGATCTCGGAGCAACTTGCTTCCACCTGCATGAACCAGCCACCGAGGAACGAATACCTTGGGCTCCCTTACGAGCTAATGCTCCAATGGTGCGAAGAGCATGGGATTCGGGAGACCACATCCTGGGAACGACTGCCACTTCTCGCCCCAGAATCTAGGAAAGCCATCCTAGAGGGACGGAAGGCGAGCCACGGAATTAAGACCATCCTTTCTGGCCCCTTCGTCACTGTCCTGGAAGACACGCTGTTCTACTCCACTCGACCGAGATTGAAGAAGCTCGAGGAGATATCGCTAATTGAAGCGTACCGTTCACAGATAACTACTCTTTCGTTTTGCGGGCTCCAGTTCGCACCGGAGGGTGATGTCTCAAGATGCAACAAGGGACGTACTCCAGAAGAGTGCGCCAACTGGGCAAAGGAGTGGGATGAGTGCACGCAACGCGGTAGAGACCAAGAAGAGTTTCGGAGTTCCGGCGAGTACATCAGAGCCCTCTCGCAAATATTGACTCGCTTCCCCAAGCTCAAGCATATCCGCTCCTGGCCTGTCCATCCAGAGAGGAGTGAAGGATACTGGATCGATACCCGAAAATTAGGGGACGGGCCTAATCGCCGGTTCCGGTGGGAACGAACCGACGCCCATCTCTACAAAAACGCCGCAGACACCGGGTACCGTGAACAAGATCGATACAAGCAAGGAGATGATCTCAAGCTGCTTTTCGCAGCTCTCTTCATCGCGAAGATACGCTTGAAGACGTTCACCACTCCACATCTTGCGAACACAGCCAGATGGGTAGCGATCAGCGACAAGAACCTTCGAAACATCCATTGCGGACTTTGCGCTGCAGTCTTTAGTGAGCTTGAGGAGCTTCGCATCAACATCCACAATGCTAGCTCCTTCTCCGACGCAGATGAAATTGGCATCTGGCGCGTCCTCAGCGCTGCGCCCAACCTCAAACTCCTCGATCTGACCTTCACGGCTATTTCGGAGAGTCACTCCATCTACTTCACCGGCCTTGTCAAGATTCACATGCCCAAATTGGAGGAGCTACGGCTTAACTTCGACCACTCAACGACCTTGAAACCAGACGAGTTCCTCGGAATCTTCAGACCGGATATCAGTAGGCTGCTTGGCCTCCGTCGTCTATGTTTGGGCTATATGTCTATCAACGCGGGTACCTGGGAGCACGTTTTGACCGAGCTCGGCACTCGACTGGACCTGGAGAGCTTGTGGCTCATCAGCCCGCGCTTTGACGACGTGGTGCTTCCCCATCATTATGTGGCGTATTCCAATTGGGAGTATAAGCGCTTCGATGCGGGTGACAGGCCTGCTTTCTATGAGGCGGCGCGGTCGGTGAGAGTAATTGACGATTGGGAGCCGTTCGAGACTGCGCAGTTGGTTGCGTAGGGCTCGCCGCGCAAGTTTCTCAGCTTTGCTGCGTTCGAGGAGTAGGCTGCCTTTATTGCTTGACCACTAGGTACAAGTCTCTCATATGTCGAGCTTTCTCGGTCCTGTCTTGTTTGGTAGTGCGAAGTCCTGCTCTTTTTTTCTAGCATTCCTCTAATGTTGTATTCTAGCGGCGTTCCTGGAGTTCGCTCAATTGGCTGGAACTTAGGTATTCCCATTCTAACATCAGTAAAAATCTTCTCCTTACATCTTTAGTCCAATATGCAGATTTGAGTGACAGGTCTCCTACATCCCCGAAGATGGGATCTATGCTCAATGTTTCTTGATATTCGGAACCATCGTTCCCGATTGTTTTCTCTCCAATAAACCGACTGCAATTCAAACAACGTAGTTGCGGCAGATATTGCGTAAAAGTTACAACGCCGGTTCCTTGCTCAAGGTGATACACATTCTTCATGGGCCCGAGGCGAAAAGCGAATTTTCGACGTCTATTCCTCAAGTTGGCTATGGAATATAGATAGATTATGAAATGACTTTTAGTCAGAGAACTCTTATAGGCAAGAATGAGGTTGAGTAGCACTTCAACATGTCTTCTGTTTCGTTTATACTAGTAGAGCGTGTGTGCCCTTCTCGCCCAACGCTTCTCTCTCGGTCTCACGTTCAGCTTCTACAGTGCATCGTCATAGCTGTGTATGTAAAGCCATTCACCGCTACCTCATTTTCTTCAAGTGGGTTTCCAGAGCACCAGGCTACCTCACTACGTGATGACGTCTGGGGATGGAAGATACATGAGTGACCGAATGCACTGCATTAAGATATATACACTTAATGGAAAAAACAAAATTAAAAAATAATGAAGTGCCCGAACGTGATTCGAACCCAGGCTAGGCCTGGACACTGGGGCGGGCACGAGAAGAGCGTAATCCATTCTAGGCTAAGCCTAGGCGCTCGCTCGGGAAGGATACTTAGAGAGATAGGAGAAGCTATGCCCACTACTCTGTTGGTCAAGCGGAAGGTGAGACCGAGTGTACGAGCGCAGCTGTAACGACTTCCGCGCGGCAATCCGTTGGCAGAAGGCTGAGACCGAGTACGAACGTACAGCTGTAACTGCTTCCGCTCGACCAACTGAGTAGTGGGCGTAGCTGCTCATACCTCTAAGCGTGTGTGATTGGTAGGGGTTGCGAAAATAAATAAATTATATGGTCTGACTGACTGGCATTCACTACTCGGGTCCCGTCGGGTTCTCGGAATGCCGTTGCGTAGCAGCCCCACGTAGTGCATACGTATTTGGATCAGACTGCTATTAGTGTTCTGACGTCTAGTGTTGCAGACCGCTGGCCAAGAAGAAAGCAGACGAAAGCGATTATAAAGACGAAAAGAGGCTTCACACCACTCGAATTCACCGCTACTACTCGCGGCATAGTTGGCGCTGGCGGTCCCACCATCTTTTTGATTGGCTTAATATTCTCTTTCTGTGCAGTCACTAAGCCGCGCTGCATACCTGGCAGGCCGTCCATGCTGAGCTGGTTCTTGAAGGCCCAGTAGCTAGGATGGTCAGTACGGACGTTGCCATTTTACACACAAGGGAGAGAAAGGTAATTCCGGAGAACTCACTTTTCAATCCCATTCTTCTTATCTCCAGCCTCCTCGGCTGCGACGCGCTTCTCGAAGAAGTCGTTCAGCGTCGGACGAAATTCTTTGAAGTCGTATTTAGGCATCGAGAAACCGCACGACGCACCTACTTGGTGAATATCGACTCGGATGATGGAGCGAGTGCCCGGAATGGTCTTCACAGAGTGGGCGTCGACGAAGGATTTGAATTCGGGGGTGCCGTATTCGAGAACAGTTCCTGAAAATACATCTCAGCCATTGTAACCAGCTCAACATCATTTCATCAGGCGAATAATTGTTTGAAACGAAGATAGAGAGCACACGCACCCTTTCCCCAAAGCCTCACAATCTTAGGTGGCCCATCGAACGCATTGAACATCACGGTGATGCGTCCATTTCCCGGCTCGTGAAGATGGCTGGTAGTTTCAATGCCGGAACCCGTGAGATCGATATACCAGAATGTCTTTTCATCTACTATCCCGAAATACTGTCCTCCCTTTGGCGAGACATTGATGTGACCGGATGCGGAAAGTGGGGCGGATGCTATCCAGAAGACCTTTTGCTGGAGCAGCCACACGCGTGTGCTCTCAGGAATAGTTTCGAAAAAGGCACCCATTATTGAAATGATTTGATGTAGACTTTGAAAGAAAAAGAGACGAGTAGGGTGCTCTGAATAAAGGCTTACGTGCAAGGATCTAGGGATGCCCCGAAATCGGCGCTCACATTGATCCTATCACTGATTGCCTCCGAGATCGCAGGATCGTCAGTACTGCTACGAGTGAGCTTACCTTGTAGTGGAATGTCTCTTGTGATATATATCTTGGATTCGTGGTTGCGGGTAGCAGGATGGATGGGTCGTCGTCGGCCGCGGAGTCTGTTATGTATAGTCAGAACTTTCCCGTTTAGTCGATCATCACCACTCTTAGCAGTCCAATTGGGTGTATGCAGAAAGGCGTGTTTCCTAATTTATACAATTGCGGTGATGTTTGGTGTCACTTGGGCAGGCTCTGGAAGTGAGGTCAAATCTAGACCCTAGTCTAGAACAGGACTAGCCTAATATTTCACGAGTCTCAAATCCGACGATCAGCCTTGGAGCTCTCGGCTTTCACTCTTCACACAACAATACAGTACACGCTCAACACAAAACAGCTCGTTCAGCAATACACAGACATCCCTCTCACTACTCTCAGTAACACACAAACTTCACAAGTGCCATCATGGACAAGAGGAAACGGTCTCCCTCACGATCACCTTCTCGCTCACCTCCGCGTCAACGAAAGAGGCCCGGCGCGGCATCGCGTCTCACCCAAGCAGACCGGGAAGCTGCAAAACAACGACAAATTGCACGCGAACAAGAGCAAGAGAAGGCCGCTCTAGAAGCGAACAAATCTCGAGGCGTGCACGATGTCGTCAAGCAACACTACAACATGGTCCCCGAGCGAGGCCGCGACTGGCGAAACACGGCCAGCAAGATCACCGGCCTCCGCAGCTACAACAACTGGGTGAAGTCATGCACCATCCAGAAGTTCATCGGCCCGGATCGTGGCCTCAATGTGCTAGATATTGGCTGTGGGAAGGGTGGAGATCTGGGGAAATGGTCTTCATCTAGGAAGGTGGCCCTTTATGTTGGATGCGATCCCGCCGACGTCTCGATCACACAGGCACAGGAGCGTTACGACAAGATGAAGCGGAAGCCTTTCCGTGCCGAGTTCTACGCCAAAGATTGCTTTGGGGAGTCGCTCGCCGATATCGAGATCATTAGGAACGTTGGCTTTGAGACAAATGCTGGACCAGGTGGTAATGCGACGGCCCAGCGATGGGGTCGAGGTGGTTTTGACATCGTTTCTATGATGTTCTGCATGCATTATGCTTTCGAGAGCGAGGAGAAGGCTAGAGGCATGCTACGCAACGTGGCGGGAGCACTGAAGAAGGGTGGACGCTTCCTTGGAACCATCCCCAACTCCGACGTGCTATCAGCTAAGGTCACAGAGCATCACAAGGGTGCGCCGACTGAAGGAGATGCAAATGGGTCTCCGAATTTCGATTCTGATGACGACTGGGACCCGGAGAAGATCATCGATGCACCAGCGCCGAAGGAGAAGAAGGAGGAGAAGGAAGAGGGACAGGAAGATGGAGAGTTGGAAGACGAGGGCGTCGAATGGGGCAACAGCATCTACAGAGTCAAGTTTCCAGGCAAGACGCCCACAGATGGTGTCTTCAGGCCTCCCTTTGGCTGGAAGTACTTTTATTTCCTAGAGGAGGCGGTCGAAGAGGTCCCGGAATACGTCGTGCCTTGGGAAGCTTTTCGAGCACTGGCAGAAGAGTACAATCTCGAGTTGCAATATCGTGCCGCCTTCAAGGACGTTTGGGAGCAGGAACGAAATGATCCGGAGCTGGGTCCCCTCAGTGAGCGCATGAATGTCCGCGATCGGAGCGGAAGGCTGTTGGTGAGGCAGGAGGAACTCGATGCAGCGAGTTTCTATCACACTTTCTGCTTCTACAAGGTTTAGGAAGCAGATCCCAAGATCTCCGGCATATATTTTTGGATTTGCATTTAAAAGGAGTCATGGAAGGCCTCGAAAAGCGTGAGTGGGCCTTTATGATACCCGGTGCTTCGGAGGCATCCAAACAGCGTATCAATATAATACTCGTTATGGCATCTCATTGTTTGCGACTCGCACGTGGACGTTCCGAACTCGCAGCCCTATTTTGCTTGTGATGCTCCGATTCGGGGACCACTTCGCCGGGAATTCCCCAACGCAGACTGTGGGGCTGCTCATAAGCAGAGTCTCAAATGCCTTGATATGGTGAATAAGATATAATTATGTATTGAAGACGTTCGTAGATTCGTGATAGTAGAGACCATAGAAGCTCTACGGAACATTATTCCGATAACCCAGGTGCCGCCTGTCATTCCATTGTTCTCGGTCCTCAGACAAGCCTCGGTAACGTCACCCGGCTTTCATCAACATCGACCGCTGTCACGAGCCTCTGCGCCCGATAAAACTACCACCGCACCGCTCCTCTCCACCGCACAGAATATACATCGCAACGCAGCTCCAGCATTCATTCCCACCTTAAACCGACCCTCGAACCAACTGCATCTCCGAGCCTCGAGCATAGCTAGCACAACACCCTCGTCATGGTTGCCGACGCCCTCATCTACCACCCAACGGTGTCGCATTACCTCAGATATGTCGCGACAACGAGTACGTTCACGTTTCCAGCTCCCCCAGTGAAAGCCCCAACCTTTACGGTGCCTCACTCAATCCCTCTCCGCTCCCTATGCGCCTCTCCTCCCCAACCCCACTCATCCCAACATCCAGCTAACCTCCCCCAGTCGGCCGCGACAAGCTCCTCCGCACCCTCCAATACTTCTCCCGCTTCCTCGCCTGGTACCTCTACCGCACGAACCACCCGAAATCCTCGATCCAGCCCTGGGAGACGCTCAAGAAGCAATTCGGCACCACGCGCAAGCTGATGCGCGTCGGCAAGTTCGTCGAGCACTTCCGCGCCGCGGCCGTGGCCGCGGACGCGAAGAACATGGACCCCGTGCTGCGGTACTGCGCGGTGGGGCGGCAGCTGGGGTATGCGGGGTACTTGACGCTGGATAATCTGACGATTGTGAGTGTCCTCGAGACTATGGTTTGAGGATGGGATGTGGGATATTGGGTATGGGAGGGACAGAGGCTAATGAGTTGATAGTTGGACGCGACCGCGATCCGCAAGTTCGACGCCGCGCAGAAACTCGGCCGCGAGGCCTACCGCTTTTGGTTCACGGGGCTCTCGTTCAGCATCGCGTCGGGGCTGTATTCGCTGTACAGCTTGCGCCAGCGCGCGGCGCGGTTGGGGGATAGTAAGGAGGGGGAGGAGGTGGTGGAGAGCAAGAAGCTGGCGAGGTGAGTGCAGGTTGGGGTTTTGCGATCTACCAAGGAATGGGTGCTGACATGTGATGATCTTTATTAGGGAATCTGCTGCTATACGGAAACAGCTCATCTCGGATTGCTGTGATATCTGCGCACCGGCGACGGCGCTGGGCTTTGCGAATCTGGATGAGGGTATGATTGGTCTTGCTGGGACGACGAGTTCGCTGATTGGCGTGTATTCGGCGTGGAAGAAGACGGCGTAGGGGAATGTTGTTGACGGCCAGTATAACTAAATGTTAGAAGGGAAGGGAAAGCGCAGCTAGCGAGCCGGGGATGCGGAGAGCTGGGAGTATAAGGTATATAGGAGAGGTTGAGCTGCCAGCATGGTATTTGTTCTAGAGGCATGCGGTTGATTGGTCCTTCGTTTGTTTAGGATCATGTGCTTAGTGTATCAGTACGGGGAATTTGGAATCAGTTTTTATAGATTCGACTTGCGAAATAGGAGGTTCATATCGAGTTTGAGGTTATGGAGCGAGCCTGTGTCGAGGGGCTCCTCGGTGATTGGAGAATGATCGTTCAATCAGAAAAATATGAATGTACGATCTGGACCCGTTACAAACCGGTTTGACCCTGTGGACAATACATCGAAGTTCTACTCTAAGATTAAACACTCGTCAAAATAGTATCCGGATGCGTTCAAGATTGCACCGCGGTCGAAAGGGTTCGGTTTATGACCCAAAATCACATCTCGGCAGAAAGGTTCCAGTTTGGACTCCAAATCAGACGCCTGTACAAAACCCCCCCAAAAAATTGAGGAATCTGAGCACTATCATCTATAGTTCCTCCACACCTTTTGCCATCTTGATACAAGGTAGGTCGAGGAAAGGCGATACGTGTCACGTGATGCCAAGCCCTCTACTAGCTTTCGCCAATCTCCCACCAGTTCGCCCTCCATCCATCTGTCACACCTCGAATCTCATCCACTCGTTTTAGTGAGTAGCATCTGACTCTTTCCATCTAAATGGCACTCTACGGGATGTATCGCGAAGCTGGGACTATCCCTTACGCCCCTTGATACCTCAACATTCCAGCTGAAGAGGGATTTTGAATAATCTGACATGAGCACGCCTAAGGCAGGCTTGAAACATCTGCAGCCTCTCTCCACGTCCGACGTGCAGACTCTAGAGAGCTTTTGGAGAAACGCAAGGGCTGAGAATCTCGCCCGTTCCCTAATATCTGACTTCCCAGAGATCGGAACTCCTATCACCCGTCGTCCTCTTCGTGAGCTAGCCGTCGAACGCGGGAATAGACCCTATAACGGTCACACTCAGGTATCTGAGGCCGTCGGCATATGTTGATAGCCCGGGTCCGGTTTTGCCACCTGCCGTTTCCGTTGCCATATCTATGGTTGGGGCTGCAAAACGTTTCAGCCTCGTGCGGCTACGCCAGATACTCGCGATCCGTGGGGAATTCTGGAGTCCAGCTCCGGGGACACGGGATGCCTCTGGGATGGCATTGTCGGCAGTAGGTTCTTATCTTGACTAGTTCGCTGGTGTGCCTTGATAGTTCCTGGTAAGCTGAACGGCCGAAACGTGACCCTGGTCATGTACTCCTGCGGCACAGCAACGGAAGAGAGGTAGGTAGAGGTGGCTGGTATATGGGCTTTATACGTCGACATGTCGAGATCAATTACAATCAGATCATATTCTCTATCAGAGTACCTCCTTTCGCCGCAAATTGTTTTGTACTTGTTCATGCATCTCATCACTCGGCCAAGCAAACTATGTATTTACTAGGAGCATCACGCGAGTGAAGCATTGATACATATCACCAAGTCGACTATCTCGGCAGGCTTCTCCGTGCAAAATGCCATCTGTAAAGGTCGAAACACTGGTAGGCCCAGAGCCTTTGACGAAAGACGAGGCAGAAGTGGAGATCAGACCCAAATATCTGCATCATGATAATGCAAGAGCTGAGTCAACAAAGATGTATTTTCACAATATCAATTGGCATCTTACATCTACTGACTGTTCACAGAGCAAAGCAGACCAACCCTCTCAATTACCAGTTCCTGTATGACATCATCCAATTTGCAGACGATTTGCTGTACACCATGGCCTCTGCAAAAGGGATGGGCCCATCAGTGGCCTTCAAGATCACACCATCGGCATTCATTATCGAGACCAATGACGATGGCCTCACACAGGCCGAAGTCCTTACAATCTGCGAGGCCGGTTTCAGTGCAAACAAGTTTCCAGGGAACGATCGCTCCATCGACAAGAAAGAAGCTGGCTTCAAATCTGTCTTCGAAGTTGCCAAAAAGGTCCATATCCAATCTGATACCTGGTCATTTTCCATCCTCAATCAAGGCGAGAGTGGGTTCAAGGCCGTCACACCCATACCTGAACCACCAATGGCGCTGCCCGACAACACAACCACAAGAATCACTTTAACGCTCCAAGATCATGTATGCGATGCCTACCAAGATCTCGCTCGCGCTTTGCAAGGCCTTCCTAAAACGACGACATTCTTCCTCGAGAACCTGGATAAGCTCACCATCTCCGTCGAATATCCGGAACAACCTAAGCAACCTAGGATCACGATCGAGAGCGCCGTGACGAGAGACACTAAGGGATTCGCTGGCGGACTTGTCCGTTTATCACACCAGGAACAATGCTTTCTAGGTTCGGAACGGGTATCATTTAAGAAGGAAACGACCAATTATCATGTGTTCAGACATCATATCAAGCAAATATCGGATGAATTTCATCGCTACGGGCACTCCACCGCTATTGTCCAGCTTGCCTTCCCGGTTGATTCTTTCACTGGACAACCTAAAATTTCAGCTTTAAGTCGACATACTCCTCCATATCTTCCTATGCAATGTTTCTCTCATCTACCTGTAAGAAAGTATCGATCCGCTAAGTCGTTGAAGTCAAGACTGACTCTATGTACAGTTTCTCGTTCACTCGAACTTGATCAACACAGGCCGCGAGAGTCTTTTGAGTTCTGCTTTGAACAAACTTCTACTTGACGGAATTGCGCACGCGTTTGCATCAGCTATTTCCGTCTTTGCAACGAAGAAGCATCGGCTACGACATTCATGGCTAAAATTTCTGCCTTCTGATGCGATGGAGTCTCCCTGGGCAGGGCTTTACAGCAGAATCGTAGACTTGCTGCAGGATACGCCCATATTGCAGACATGGAAAGAGAAAGTATTCAAATGCCCATCGGAGCTACGAGCTATGCTACCGCATAATAGACATCATGATACGCCTATCTACGATGACCTACCGAACCAACTATATCTTGCTCCCGAATACGAGCGATTCGGCAGTGAGGTGTTTCGCCACTTCGGCGCGCCGACCGTCAACTGGCGTGAGCTACTAGTACCAGAGCTCGTAAGACTCTCCGAGTTGGCACGGCCGCCGGTGGAACTCATTAGACAGGCACTGATGAAGATTGGAATGACGATAGCCACGAAAGGGATGGACGAAAAGCTGCGCAAAGCTCTAGAACATCTTCGAGGGGCAAAGTTCCTCCCTTTCAAAACTTCTGACAACGTCCTTGAATATAAGGGTTTAGAAGAGGACTTCGCAATTCTCGACCATACTCGCTTCGGCAGTGCCTTCGAGGGGCGTTCAGTATTATTGGACTTCTCGCTGAAAGAGTGGCAAGTTTTGGACTCATTCTTCCGTCATTTCAAGCTAGACGATCGCTATCTATCGGTCGCCGTTACAGAGCATACGGAGACTAGCGAAGAAGGTTTGGAAAACGAAGACCTCACCTTGACTTTACGCGCACAAGCATATGCTCTCTATTGGTAAGACGCATTCCATTTTCGAACATATTTCCATCCCTTACTCAAATTTGATGCATCCTAGCACTTCTCGAATGTATAGGTGGGGCTAATGAACAGCAGCTGTGCAGCGAAATTCAACAGCACGATGGGCTTGCATGCAGAAACCGGTCTGTATGAGCAGCTGCTGCAGTTGACTGTCTATACAATAGACAGCATTACTACCAAACTAGTTCTCCGCCTACAGAATCGCTCAATCACGGTAAACACTGACCGGATATCTCTTCACTCCGAAGTTGTGGACAAGCGCCTCAAAATTTACGCCCCCAATGACTACGGCCAGCGCCAGGCCTGCTATCGTTCACAGCTTCCAGATCTGGTCCGCAAACTCCTGGGAGTTCCCTCGGATAGGGCAACCTTTGCCATATCCCTGATCCTTGGCGCTAAAGTCGAGGCACTTGAGGATATTATGCAAGAGCAAGACATATATCCGGTTTCTTGGATTCCCAGAACGCCGCGGCTAGAATTACCGGTAGAGGTCAGAGAGCAGCAAAGTGGCCGAGAAGCCACTCTCAACGATCATGGTGCATACGGGAGTTCAGAAGAAGAAAACTCTGAGGACACCGTTCGGGAGACTGTAGAAGGTGATGGCGGCGAGAATTCAGACGTGCGGACTCCTCCAACAACAGATAAATCCCCCAGACGCAGTCCCAGATTCCGGGATTCTTCTCCGATTCCTTTTCGGGGCTTCAAACGCCCGGCCGGGAGCCAGATACGGTCCCCTTCTCCTCCGATAACTCCGAAGCCACGCAACGATCTCTTGAGTTCTCCTTTAAGAACCAGAAGCAAGTCAACTTCATGCGCAAGAATAATGGATGCACACCTCGGCGCTGAATCACGGACACGCCAACACTCGGAACTGTCAGACGATGACACGTCTTGCGACATGATCATAGATAGCACAGAGAAGTGTGATCCAGCATCTCCCGATACGCCTCCAGCAGATGATGATCCACACTCTATGTCCAAAGGTCGTGGCCGACATAAGGTGCGACCAACCGACATGATGGTCACCGGTATAGCAGGTGAAGTCCATGTAAGTCTTGAGTCATTTGAAACAACCCCTGCGATTGAGCTGATGTTCTCCTCTCTAGGTTTATGAGACTCTACAAGAGCTGATTCCTAACTTCAATATCGACATTTGGCAGAGCAGGAATCGTCGCGTGGCCAACGTCCTAAAAGAATACCAGGATGTAAAGAATTGGGCGTTCCCTGAGTCGACTGATCTCGTCTGCACTGATGACACCGGCAAGCTTACCCAGATCCTGCGTGGGGAATGCCAAGGCGGGTTCCCTGAACTGCACGGCGGCGATCCGACTATTGCACAGCCCATCAATTACTTCATTGAAGTAAAGACGACGAAGAACCAGGCCAATACCCAATTTTGCGTGACGAAGAATCAATATCGATTGGTAAGTTTGTACCTTTGTAAGTGTCTCTATTACTGACTGAGGGGGATCTTTTAGATGGAAGAGTACCAGATAAGGCCAGACCAGCGGCCAACGAACATCTATGTCATCTTCCGCGTCTTCAAATGTAGGTCAGCCGAGGATATTGGTATACGCATATATGTTGATCCTTGGAATCTGCGAGATACCGAGTTGAACTTCAAGCCCCAAGGATCCTTATGGGTGACGCCGGTTTTCCGGCGTCGAGGTCGTAGTAGATCGCGTAGCGTGTTGGAAGAGCAAAAGGCTGGCGTGGTGGGCTAGACATACTGCGCAGAGATGACTATGTTGACTTATTGCGCTTGCTGTAGGCTTGCGATCTCGATACGTGCTGGAAAAAGGTAGGTGTGACTCTAGATGAACGGTGAAGCATCAGGGCATAGCCCTACGAGGCGAACGATTGTCACGTGGATGACTTTCACGCCATCGCGTCCTTCTATCATTTCATTTCATCTATACCTCAGATACAATCAAGCAATCCCAAGCAGAAGGGCGTGGTCAGTGTCTTGTAGTCGTTGTGCGGGTTATGCGAGCTCGCACTTGCCTGGTCGACCAGGTGACGACACATCCACCTCGCGATAACCACTTCACTTCTTCTTCCCTCCCATCTCTCGTCACTTCCACCACGGCGCCGCTTCGCTTCTTCGACCTTTCTCTCCCACATCGCTCTCGCCTTCAATCCTTCACCGCGCTCCTTCTCGTCCATCGTGCGTTCACCTTCAACGCCGCCATGGCCAACCATCCTCCCGCGCTTGCCTACGCCCGCTCTCACGGCCTCCGAATTCCACCAGTCCCCGGCATGTCCGACTACGAACGCATTCATGGGGTGCCAGATCCTCGCCCCGCCCGGAACCTCACCACGTATATTGCGCGCACGCCGCCCAGCCCTGGATTTGACGCCTATCTCAATCGGCAGCAGAATGAAGATGGTGACAACGACGGTGGCCTTCCGTAAGTGTTGATCCCGCGCAATTTGCCGAGACGTAGCTAACGCTTGTCGCAGTGACTGCAGCAATGTCCAAGGCCCCATTGGAGCTTGCCCGCGCGACGGGGACCCAAGCAGTGACGATTCCTTCAACAGCCTCTTCCATAGCGATGGCAGCAATGACAAGTTCCGCAGCTCCCCGCCGAGACAGGACACCCCTCAGGAAGGCTGTACGTCGGATAGCTTTGTCGAGGCGTACCATGATTCCGCTGACACGCAGATGGCGGTAACGTACGACAGCGGGGATTGGATCTTCGGATCTGAGGAACTGGAGACCCATGTCCTAGGCGGCAAGAACAATGTCACCGAGTGCGAGGAGGGTGTATCGCGCGCTGTCGGCAAGCACGGTATCTATGGCTACGGCGACGACTTCATGCTTGCCCAAGAGGAGATCGATGAGGACATCCGCAAGCTCGAAGAGAAGGTCAAGACGCTGGAGAAGGAGAACGAGCAACTGAAAGAAGAAAACAAGTATCTTGCGGAAGACAACGTACGGCTTCGCAAAATAGAGAAGAACCACCTGCAAGAGTGCGTACGGTCCAGCGAAGAAATCAGTTTTCATAAGAGAGAGAGCGCACGCTTTCGCAAGGAAATTAGCACGATCCTCGTTAATCTGAACGCTTCTAGGGAGCGGCAGGACGTCAAGTACCGCCAGTCGTCGCTTCAGACAAAGGTTCAGGACACCCAGGTCAAGACTCCGAGGCGTTCATCTAGCGTCCTCCTCGATACCTTGCCAGTACGCCCGGCCTCTGATGATCGGAAGCGGAAACCTAAGTCGCCTGTAACGGCCGAAGTCGAGACGCCTGCGAGACGCGCCGCGAAGAAAAAGCGCACACTATAGGATACCGCTTTCGAGTGTACTTGGCTATGCATGGGCTGTGCGATGAATCATGGATACTGGCGTTTGTAAGAGCATATCCTAGGCTTTTGTATATTGGTGTTCGGGAGGCCTGTGAGTAGTCACGAGCATCTATGTACTGGCGATCGGGAGGGTGCAAAGGTCGAAGCCATTGGGTTCGCTCATCGGTAACTGTTTTGTTTTTGCTTCTGTGTCATGTTCTCTGAAATTTCCTGCAATTGCAGATGAGAGACGAGGGTTTTCACTAAGAATGTTGAGTTCGATGTATTCGACATCCGTTAGGATGCGGAAGCACTTCCTGTCAACACCCGTGTTTCATACAATGGAAGTTTCATCACCCCAAAAGTTAGATTCCTCTCAAACGCTCCATTGATACACCGTCAACTTCTCTGTGCCACCCTTAATAGCTTCTCCGAGTGTCCCAAAGTCTATCACGCTCAGCACTGCAAAGTCCAACCGTCATATCAATGCTTTTATTTCCCCGCTCCCTTCACTAATTCATCTCAGTATGCAACCCCCAAAAGTAACCCCCACGCCCGCAAATCTCAGAAACTCCGCATGCCTCAAAACCAACTCCCCTATCCCAAATCCCTCAAACTTCAATAAATCCCAACCAATAGATCAACTTTTCCCTCCCCTGCCGCAACTGCCGCCATCCCCTCTTCTGCCCCTCCATACGTCACTCTGTCATCCAATCTGAATTCACCCCCACCCTCCCCTTCTCCGATTCTGCCCAATCAATCCGAATCCACGTCCAACGGCTCATCCATCGAACTCCCCCGTCCCCCGCCTTTGGGTCTGTCTCTCATTAGCCGTGCTTTTTATGGCCTGGCAGTACAGGTGTTTCGAGCTTACGAGAATTGAACAGGAGAAATGGCTCGTCTCTGCCGCGCCATCTCCAACCGCAGCTGCGCGGCGCGCGAGGCGGCGGCTGCGGCGAGGTATTCGAGGCGCAGGAGGGAGGGGGTGGAGGGGGTAGGGTGGATGGAAGAGGCGGGAGTGAGGGCAGCGGTGTCGGGGTCGGGTTTGATAGCTAGAGCGGGGATGGGGGTGGGCTCGCGCTTGATGGGGTGGTGGGAGAGGCGGGGGAGGCGAGGGGGGATTGGAGCTGTTGTGGATGGAGCGGGTAAGGCTTCGGGACGGCGGACTGCGGGCGAGAAGCGGGGAGGTGCATTGCGGAAGCCGAGGGAGAATGGCCCACTTGGCGCTCTGAGTGGAGCGGGTAAGCGGTGCGGACGGCGGACTGTTGTGGAGATGGGGACAATCGACGGCCGCGTACGTGGGTCGGGCTGTCGCCCTGGTGGAATAGGCTCAGTCCGTGAGAAGGCCGCTAGAGTCGATGGCCGTGGGGAATCTGGGAGACCCGTGTGAGCAGTGTTGGCGCTGCGTGGGACGGGTTCGTAGGCAGGAGGTGGAGTTCCTGGGACGCTGATGGTCGGCTGCGTCTGCGATGGAGGCCGCATACTGCGCGTTACTCGTTGGGTTAGTGCTGCTTCAACTGGAGGGATTGAACTCCTGGGTGGCTCCAAAGGCGCCTCTGCTTTCGAAGCCGCTGTGAAGAAGTCCGATATCTTCTGGTTGCGGCTTACTTCATCTGGAGAGAGCGACAGAGGAGCTCCGTGAGTGTCTCCAAGTCGAAGCCTTTTGCGGGTCAGCTGGGACCCTGATTCTGGGGCATACCAGTCCTCCACTGATTCAGGCTCTGAGCTTTCCTCGGAGCTGTTTGAGGAGTTGTCGTCATCTCCTGACTCGTTTGCCTCATCGTTCGCACCGGGGTCTGCGTCCGTTGGAGAGCGTCTCCGGTAAGTGCGATATATGTTTCCAAGGCCGCCATACGTACGCGGTTGGGGGCGGCTTGGAACGACGTGGTCCGCATCCGACTTCTCCTCAGCTCTAGCCGTCCAGCCTGTGTTCAGACCAACTCCCCCGGCCAGAGTTTGGTAGCTCTCGCCCTCCTTTGCATCAGCCCGCCTTGCCTCCTCTGCCTTCCGCTCCGCCTCCTTCAAAAACCTCTTATGCACTTCGATGACGTCCCAATCTCGCAACCACGGAGCACCACCCCAACCCTCTTGCCTCTTCCTGACCTCCGCGGCCAACTCCCGCTGCACGTCCTCGAGCCTGCCCTTCGTGTGGTCCGACAAATCGAACAGCTCTTTCAAGAACTGGATCCCCCAGTTTTGCGGATTGTTCTCAGGCTCCTCAGTGACTTTGCCATTGTTGTCGTGGATGCGGTAGCGGATCTCGGCGGGGATGCAGTCGAGGATTGAGGGCTGGTTCCAGTTGGCGGCGATTTGGGGGATTAGGCCGTCGACGTGGATCTGGCTCATGCGGGTGAGAAGGGCGTACTTACGCTTTTGGCCGGGAGCCATGATGGGCGGGAGGGTCGGCGAGGGCTGTGTTGGTGGTGATGGTGAGCGATTGGAAGGCACGTGCGTGGGGTTTGGTGAAGGAAGAGTGGGGTTGCGGTGTGAGAGATGGCTAGGCGGAGTGATGGATGGGTGTCACCGATGATGGACGGCTGCGGACAGTCTGTGAAGGTTGGAGAGGTGGAAGTGAGGTATTGAATATAGGTAGTGATCGAGTTCGTTCGTGATGATAGTGCGGAGAAGGCCGTTTAGCCGCGGTCGTTCTGCCGGGTGAGGAGTTCACGGGCTGCGGACTGAAGAGGGCGGGTTAGATTACTGAAGGTAAACTTGGGAGCGTGGCAAGTTTGAAGCGGCTGGTCTCGAGCGGTGACGGAGGATGTGGGCGAATGGAAAGAAATTATGTGACGTTATGTCCAGTAAAGCGACATTATGTCGAGAATTATCGGTGAGAGGGGAAAGTTTCGAGTCACCCTGAATGAGGTGAAGAGCAGGCACAGAAGGAAGTCTAATCACTGCAATGATTACTGTATGCCTTACTGTAAGTGTTACTGCAAGTGTTACTTCAATTGTACTATGCTGGGACTGTACTAGAACTGTCCCAAACTGTCGTAAGCTGTTATGGGCTATCATACCGTTGGTCTCAGTGAATGTTTTGGTGTCGCTCATGAGACTCGAGGCCCTATCAATGTAAGAGTGTTGGATTCTGGATGCCGAACCGTTGTATGAGCTATGGAATGGGGGGCAAAGATGAGATGAAAGGAAAAAAGGCCTTTTGGACGCTACTCATCCGCTGCTCTCCGAACCTTAGAAGCCGGAATGCTGAACTGAAATGTTTCGTCATACCTCACTCCTGCTGTGAGCTCCATCCAGACATGTCGTGAACTAGAAAGTGAAGATAAAAAATGAAGTATCCCAGAAATGACTGTAGTGTCGACCTCTGAAGAGTGAGTAACAGAAGCTCGATGAACCCACCGGCCGCTTTAAAATTAAGGTCCCAACCTTTATGTCTGAGATAAAATGCCTTAAGCCTAATCCCCTATTATTAGAGAACCATTCTGCTTAACTTATCATAGTAGAACCATGAGGTGAATAAACACTCTCCTTTTTCATCATCCCAATGCATGTCCCTAGGACCGCATTGCATGTTCTTAATCCAGCTCAACAGCGGTATCCCTGGTTGCTCCTGGTCTTGTGTAGATTTCCCTGCCCTCTAAGTCCTGGTGGTCCTGTTCCTGTACCATAGACTCCTGCTTGATCCCAAGTTTGAGTTCCTCCTTCATTAGCGTATCTTCCTCCTTTATCTGAGCAAGCTCCTTTTGATCTTCAATAAAAATGACCTTCGCTCGTTCAAGAAGTTTAACACTCTCGATCGCCTCTGTCACCTTTAGGTCGAATTCTAGAGTGCTCTCCTTATCCCGCTCTTTGATCTTCTGCTGGACTAGAAGGCGGTTCACTCTTGCTTTTGCAGCTTCCAGGTCAGACTTGAGGCGATTAAGACTTTGAGGCTTGGTAGTTGAAGTGGTTAGATAAACGTCAGTCAGTGAGGCTTTAGACTCCAGGCTAGAAGAAGAGGCTGTTTCTGGAGATTTTGGGACGTTAAGCATTTTTACTTCTGGGATGTGAGAGACGTCTGGAGATTGGGCTGTTTGCTTAGTGGTCACGAGAGCGGATGTGTTCTTCATAAACTGGGATTTTGGCGGAGAGCCGTTTTCCTTGGACACCAAAACAGGGATTGGGTCACTTCTTGCAAGACCACCGATGGGGGCCGAGTCAGCACGGGGCGCATGAGCGTTGCTTCGTGCAAGCTTGCTTGGTGGTTGAGATGCTGTGTCTTCGGGCCATCTCTTTCGGGCATTCTGACTAAAGTAGCTGTCGTATTGTTCCATTCCTGGTCCCAGGTATCCCGCTGGACGAGCTGTAGCTGTCCGTCTTCTTCTACCGTCCGGTTGCAAGAAGCCATCTTTGCTGCTTGCTCTTGTTTCAAATGTCGAGGCTGTGGTTAGGTTCTCTGAGGCGGAGGAGCCGACATGCACATTTCCCCGTCTTCCCTTAGCTGCCACATAATCGAGACCACGATATCTTGCCAACTTCTTCATGGCCGATTCAATGTCGGATTTTGTCAGCCAGAATTCTTTTGTCTTGTCGCCCTCCCTTCTGAGCCTCTGGCGAACCTCGGTCACCAGTCTGTCGTAGAAATTGCTGGGATTGCGACTCATCGCGGACATTTGTAGGAGTAGCTTCAGGTTCCCGAGGCCCCAATTACGGGGATCAAGCTCTGCCTCCGCGAGCCGTTGTCCAGCCGCGTTTTGTTGCCGTGGACAATGCTCCTTGTTGACACACTCGATCAAAGGCTTTCCCAAATTGCTCGCAATCTCCTGGACGAGGCCGTCTACCAACAGCTGGTTTGGCCGCGTGAGGACGTCATAGTTCAAAACCATGATTATCGTTGAGTCAGTGGCGGACACACCGATTCCGGAAGAAGCTATCGACCTCCTCACTTGTTGAAGGCTCGGTGGTCTAGCGGAGGAAGGATGCTGAACTGTGTTGCCAAGGTTAGTAAGGTGACAAGCAACCCTGCATGGTGGAAGCGTTTGTTCATGTTCATGACTTGGACTACACTTACCAACTTTAGTTCGCCAAGTGAGGTGGTAAGAATGTGTATCGTCGACGCGAGCTCGGGCAGCAGTGTCAAGAAGTTGTCATCCACGGACAAGCTGGCGGCCGTGGTGGGTTTGGTTTGCGGACCGTTATCTTTGTAACGCACCGTCAATGAATGGAGTCAAGCCAGCAGTACATCAGAGCCGATGTGCGGTGGAGAATGTAGAAGAGCCAAGGTTGTTGAGATGAGGTACATACCCGAAGATGAATGTTTGTAGGTGCGCCAATATGCCTCGTGACGCTTTTAGCGGAGGCACCGTTGAGAGACGGAACAGGTACCGAACTCTTGGAGAGGGAAGGAGGTAGGAAATGTGGGTGCGGAAGGATGAGAGTCCGTATGGGAAAAGCGTGGTGGGCCGTGGCGCGAAAGAAGACTGGGTTAGGGTGACTTGAGTCGGTGAGGATGGAGGGTGGTTAGTGGAAGAGAGATGAGGAGTTGAAAAGAAGCCGGGATGAGAGAGTATCAAGTAGCTGGCGGTTGAAGCCGAGAGACTTGAGTCGCTGTGGATGAAAGAGCAATGGAAGGAGGATAAAAGAGAGGGGAAGAGTCGGGAGTAGAAAATCTTGAAGCAGACCGTGGTCGAAGCCGAATGAGTTGGGCTGGAGCCGACAAGAGACGGATGACGAACAGGAGAGGAGCAATCGTTGATTCGTTGTCGGCAAGAGGGGCGGTGAGGGCGGTCAAGTAGCCCGCGGTCGGAGTAGGGCGATTTGTGTCGGCGGTGATGAACGATAGATAGTTAGAGAACGCTGTCCAATGTTTGACGGAGGGGCAAGAGGAAAGCGCTGGTACTGATGGGCATGAAGCTTGAGCAATTCAAGTCAAGGTTCCTGAAAGATGAAAGGTGGGATAGAGAAAGGAGCTGATTTGGATGCCATTAATATGGGGAGTGGGTGATTGCCGAGCATCTAAAGTTCTCTTTAGATCACTATGTTACCACTAATAGAGTAGCCCACGTTCATGAACCAGTTGAGCGTAATGACACAACCTTCAAATGAGAGCCAAATACAAGAGAGAAACGAGCTGGTAACGTCGTCATCACGCATACCATTCTGCACTTTCTAATTCCAGGCTTGAGCATAATCTTAGAAATACTACCCTATTGATGACAGATTGGAAGAAAGAAGGTCAAGACGAGCGGGCAGGATAAGATGGTCGGGTAGACCGTCGTCGCACCCTAGCGATTTGATACAGTGATGATAGGAGGCCGATTATGAGAGGTCGAGGAGCAACAATTTAAGGCGAATGTGGAGGAGAAGGTAGCTGATTTGGTCTTATTCGAAGCAAGAGACTGAATCGCAGGTGCTTCGGGATGGATGGCGAAAATTTGAAGCGCCGAGCAGGATTAAGTAGTCCGAAGGCTAGCTATATGGGTTGGCGGTAATGAATGCTGGATGGTCAGAAAGCTCAGCAGAGTATTCGAAGAGGATCAAAAAGGAGGAGTAGTGGGGTTGCTGGTGGATGAGGCTAAGCGATTCGGATTATCAGTGATGGAGTAATAACTGGGAAAAAGGGGTTGATTTCAATATTAAAAGAGAAGAGATTTTTGAAAATTTTCAAGCATGCTTAAGCACCACGTTAACGCATCTGTACTAGACTAACCTCTGTTAGACCTAGGATAAGAAAGGAAGATCTAATAATCTATCTACGAATCCTACATCTATCTAATATACCTACTTAGGTGAATAACTAATAAAGAGAAGTGCTTGGTGTGAAATAATAAATATATATATATGCAAGCTTAATTATAGTTAAGATAGAAGGAGCCAGGAACTAACATGCAATTAATAGAGAGCGAATAAAGTATATAAGGACCCGATAGGCAAACAGCAAATAGAAAGGGTTGCATTGCTATGCTATAGAATTTGTAATACAAAAAGAGAAGAGGGGCAAGGGCGCAGCCGCCAGAAGTAGGTTCCTAGCGCGTTTGGCGCTAGCTGCTAGTGCGCCCTCCTAACGGCCACGGAACCACGTGATAACTATATAACTGTCTATAACTATAGGTAAATATCGCTTGCAAAACAAAGGAAAAGGCCGTCTAAGGCCTAATACTACCTTTCTCCTTTTTAGGTCTAAGCTCCTATAAGGAGTAGCTAAAGAAAAAAGGTTATAAACTAAATAAATAGGGGGTTAGTAAGGGGGCCACTAATCGCACACCCCCTTTTTACTAATCGCACACCCCTTTTTCACTAATCGCACACCCCCTCCCCCCCTGTCGCTTCACCACCTTCTAATTGGCTCGGATTAACGCGGAGCTTCCTCCGGGCATTCACCTATACGTCCATCTACACGTGATGCTATACGCGAGGCCGTACGGCCTTACGTACGGCTATATATATGGCTACACGAATCGGAAAGGATGTATGCCGATTTGTATAGCCTTATGTACAAGCCTAAGTCTA